GCCCCGTGACAGGGCCTCCCTGCAGCTGATCTGCAGTGCAGGATCAGAACAGAACTCAGTACTAAACCGTGTATTCTTCTGTGTTTGCATTCAGGGCACATAAGCAATACAAAAGAAGTGCTAGGTGGCAAAACGTTGACTAGGGCTGGCCAAGGAAGAGAGAGAGAAGGGCCCAGTGGTGTTATCTGATGCTGCTATCAGTACACACTGCGAGAGCATGCTATTTCACAGCCGTGCAGCAAACACTCTTGCCTTTTTATTAACCAGCATGAACCTTTTTATTTATTTAAATCAAATCACAAATAAAATAAAGACAGGTATGTGAAAGTTTTTGTGTTGTGATGCTTTATCTAAACCAGCTCTCATATAGAAAGAGTAACCCCAAAAGCCCTCATAAGACATCCTTGTTTCATTAGGAATTTTAATCTTTTTTTCTCCCCTGGAAGGTTAAACAGATGGCTCAGCAATGCAGAGTATTCCACAGTTCATTCATTCATTTTACTGACACCTGGGTCTTAACTGTATGCCAGGCACAAATAAGTGGCAGAAACAGGTTCTACCATCTTGAAAGGGCAACTTTCTCTTCTAATAGCATGATCTTCCTACTGATAAACATCAATAAGTATTCCAGCTGAAACAAAGCTAGTTTCCTGGGGTTTTTGGTTCTCCTTTTTAGAAAAGTTATTTTGATTTCTGTGTAATTTTAGTAAGAATTTAAAGATATTGTAGGTGCCCATTCACATAAAATCAGTGAAAACCAAATCACTGATTTTATCAACCATTGTGAAAAACAAATCATAGAGATAGTTTTATTTTTAGTTTTGCTTTGAGCCCAGGCCCACAAGTACTAGATCTTAAATTGTCCTTTCAGAAGATTGTGATGAATGAAACTGAGCTTGTCTGTTTATGTCTACAAGTGTTCTCTTTTGAAAATATTTTAGGAGGTTAGCCAAATTTTGGCTCACAATGGTTATTACCTTTCAGAAGCACAGTCCAGCTGGCCTGAGGCCAGAGTCTCTTCCCAGATGCCCACGAGCAAGGAGGCCCCTCCGTCTTAGCTGGCTAGTGTGGGCCTCGAGCGGTTTAAGGGGACTCACCTGCCCATGGCCAGTAGAATTGAGGTCCCAGGGCTCACAGCCATGACAGTGTTCATCGCAAAGCTTAGGGAAGACTGAAGCAAACAGGCAGCACCTCAACACCTGTGGACCTAAAGTCTGCCATTCCTTCGTCAGGAACGCTTTCTGGTCCCTTCGCAGATGTGGGGCCTCTCCCAAGAAATGCAGCCCTTGAAAAGCCATTTCTGTGTAAGTTGGTCCTGGGGGTTTTTAGACCTTGAGAGGCAGATAGAGGAGTTCTTCTCTGGGTTTTGTCATTCACACCCTCTATTAGTATGCCTAAATCTGGCCTTGCTGCTAGTGATGTGGGGAGAGATGAATCCTCATAGAGAGGAGGGTAACTTGCATCAAACTCAGTGAGCTTTGTAATCATGCTGTGATGACCTCCTTCTCTGCTTGTTGGAGTTTAACTCTGGGCTCTGTGATACCATCTGATGCATCCATCCCTTGATCTGTTTTCCTTATTAGTGGCACAGAGGCTGTAGAGGAGATGTCAGGGATGCCAGGCTAATGAAAATATTTGGCATTTGCTTTTCCCAGGGGTAACAAGTTGAAGAGCCGCTAGGTCTCAGGAGAGAGGGAACACTTACCTATATTGCCAAACCCTTTTAGACTGGCGTTGGAGACATTAGCCACCAGAACCTGTTACACGGGGTCTTGGAACTCCATTGGAACCTGAAATGTGGATGGGGCTCTCGATTCGAATATATCTCCATCCCACTCTTAGGAAAGGCACTTCCTGCTCGGCCTTCTGCCATCGGACACCCTGGACAAGCTGTTCTTGGAATCTCCGCCAGGCTTCTCCTCTGTGACTGGGGTTGCGTTGCTGTGTTCTGTGACCCACTTGTGATGCCTGTAATCCTGCATGTGGGGAATCTAGATGATCAAGTAGTTTTGAAATAGACTCAGCTCCCTCTCTCTTCCTTGAAGCGATAGTAGTTAATCTGGGGGGAGGGAAGATAGAGCTTTTTCTTCAAACCATGTTTTTGCACCAATTAAACGTCAACAACTCCAATATGCCATTCTCTGGATGAAAGGCAATTAGGTGGCATTTTTCTTTCCACAAGGCATACAGCACCTCAGTCAGTAAATAGGGGGTCAACAATAATTCTTAATCTAAGCTAGTTAAATACCACACTGCATATTCTAAGGACCAGAGTCTTCAGGTGGAGATCTGAAAATGCCTGTATCTATACTCCTCTCTCTGCCACTTTATCTGTAATTAGTAACGTGCGACCACTCCTTGGCAAAGTCATCAACTCCCTTCTCCAAACATTCCAGACAAGTCACAGGGCTAGTGCTTGCTTTATAAAGGCCCACATGAAGTGTGTGAAGCTTCCGTCTAGAAAGTAGTCTAATTTAGGGTAAAAGGGAAAAAAAATTCACAGAAGATGAAAGCGTGTGTGCTTTTCAGGGTTTCTTCTCTCTGTGCATGCTTTCCTGCATGAAGCCCTTTGAGCCTTGTGTTGGTTCTAAATCTTATGGGGATCTACGCCTTTGTCATTCTCCTAGGATTGTTGTTCATGAGTGAACATTGTCCGGAAGTACTGAGGGCAGCGTGTTTTAAGCTTCTTTAATTTCCACCTCTGGGGCGTGTGACCCTCCAGCCAAGCCCCACACCATGAGGTCTGAGAGCCCTTTGCTCCTCCTGCCCACACTTGACCAAGTGGATGGGTCTGTGACCACCGAGGTGGTGACAGCCTGCTGGCAGCACAGTGAATTGGGGACTGGCAGACATGGCATTTTAACCACCACTGCTCCGCTCACCAGCTCTGTGCTCTCAGTCAGGTTACTGCCTCACTTCTGTGAGCTTGGAGAGCATGCTTAGCCCAGTTTATCTGTGTGAAAATTCAGGAGAACATTTTCACCTGCTCCAGCAGCACCCGGCACATAGCTGATGCTATATCGTTGTTGGCCTGTCTGTCCCCCATTTTCACTTCTTCGGCAGTACCATCAGGCAGCTCGAGCCCTGTATCTGATCTCTTGAGGCTTTTTATGGGGGAGGAAATAAAAAGACAAAAAGCAATTTCAGTGTTTTCCACTGGGGGATTAAAAAAACCCCGAAAACTAAAAACTTGAATATCATGTTCCTTACTCTTGGCAGCTTTGACCTCTGGTCTAAATAAGCATGATCAAAGAACTTTTTTTTTTTTCCTTAGAATATTTGTTTTCAGCCTCTTGAGTTAGGTACTTTGAGTCAGCTCCTAGGACCTTAAATCTGTAAGTTTAAAGGAGCAGTCTGAGATCCTTTTAGGGGAAGGGACTTTACTCAGGGCCACTTGAAGAGCTAAGCGGAAAAGCCAGGACCTGAACCTAGATCTCCTCCTGCTTCTGTGGAACCCGCCGCCCACCGCCTTGGGAACAAGTGCGAGCTATGCGTCTCAAGCTAACTGCTCCCAGGGAGCCCCCCTCTCTGGGACCTAGAAGGCTGTGATCAGATGGGTGCATGACCTGGATGCGTGTGTCCCCAAGTTGGGTGGCTGTTTAAAATCTTGGTATAGAGGACTTCCCCAGTAGTCAGGCTCCACCTTTCAATGCAGGGAGCACAGGTTCAGTCCCTGGTTGGGGAATTAAGATCCCACATGCCGTACCATGTGACCAAAAACAACAACAACAAGAAAAACTTGGTTTGTAAAGGCCAATATTTTCATGACTTAAAAGGGTCTGATGCTCCAGGTTGTAGTCTGAGAAATGCCTGTCTTCTAGTTATTAATTCAGTAGTACTTCCTGGGCGCCGACAAGAGCTGCTCAGGGACAGGTGTGCTGGAAAGATGGCATCAAACAAAAAGGGATTCTGTTCTGATCATTGGCAGCCCTGCAAGCATGCACTTTTTTGCTTTTTTTCCCAAAGGAAAGTGTCATTTTTAAAAAGAAAATCAGATTCTAACCATCCACGTCTTTAACAAGCTAATGGTCCAAGGGCCCTGCTGCTTCTGAGTCAGCTTGGGGTGTCAGACCTTTCGTGAGGCTCGTTCCCAGTTACCTTTGCCTGCCCAGGTCTTGGCATTGACCAGGTCTCTTCAAGGTGCATGCTCCAGGGAGCGGTGGAGTGGGGAGGCTCAGAACATCCTCCAGCGAATTCATTCAGCTGTTTTGGGGTTGTCACCTCTTGGTGTCTCATTCTTAACATAAGGGAAAAGTGAGACTGTGGTGCTTTCTCCACCAGCCAAGCAGCAGAGAAAATGCCTTTGGGAATTTGGAACAAACCTTATCATCACATGGCCAGGGAGAGGCAATGTGAAGAGAATAAAGATCAGACCTGGGCTTGGCTCTGGGCTCTGCCCTTTACTACCTACATGACTTTGAACAAATCTCCTCATGTTTGCAGTCAGATGGGCATCGGTCAGATGGGTATAACAACACTCACCTGGCCTTTGGGGTGAGAGGTAAAGACAATGTATGCCAAGCCCCTGCTGCCATGCCTTTCCTAGGTGCCTGCTGGACGGCTACTGTTTCTACTCCAGTGTCTGTGGTGTTGATATATGTGTGTGTCATCAGCCCACAATAGCCTACATCTGAGTTAAGGTGCAGAAAGTGGTGTCCGAGGATCTTTAGCAGAGATGTAAGGCGTTGTCTAGATGGAAGGAAGCCTTTGTGACCTGGGTGGAGGGAAATTGGTTCCAGTTGATGTAGAAGTTGAGAGATGAGGAGTCTGCCCACCAGCCTCCGCTCTCTTGGATGTGCTTGAGGGATGACACTCTGCACCTCTCACTCTGCGATCTGTGGCCTCCTGAGGCTTTGCGTGGCAAAGTCAGCCCTCGAGCCGTGTTTGTGCCTCGGGGCTCCCTTCTGGCTCACTGGGAACTGTGGGCTCTTTTACTTGGGTTGGTTGTCTCATTGTCCCTGCTGTGTCTGCCACCACTGACTGTGTTCACTCTCTTCCAGGGGCTCCACGGGCCTTACCCCTTCGGCCAGTCTTAAACGGGTGTCAGCAAGAAGAAAAACTAACAAAAGACAGAAGGCTTGACTCTGGGGGGGGAGGGCAAGGGGTTCCTCTGGATTGCAGACCACATCGCACGGACCCCTGGCTCTGACCCCCGTCCTGAAAGAAGAGGAAGACGCAGAAAAGACTAGTTTTGAGTAAACTCAGTGTGCATGTGTGAATGCCGAGTCGCAGGAGTGGTGTTGAGGCTACCAAGAAGAGATCCATGCAGCCACTTTGGGCTTTGTTTGTTAGGTGTCAGTCTAACAAGTCACTAGGTTGCTTGGGAAGGAACAGAAAAAAATGTTTAAATGGGGGAAAAAAGCCATCTTTTTAAACAAAAATTATTTTGCCTACAGACAGGTTGTAGTTTTGAGCACATGTTAATTTTTTCCCCTCTTTCCCAACTTTTTTTTTTTTTTTTTTTTAGATAAAGGATAACATGCTGTTTATAGAATAGCTGCTTGCTCTGGAAGCGATTCAGGTTAAAAGCTGGCGTGGCCTGCTCGGGGACCGTGCGGGTTGGCGCCGCAGGGGGACACCTGCCGCGCCTCCTGACTCCTCGAGTCTCTGACCCCCCGTTTGTTTTTAATGGCGCCAGCCAGTGAATTACCATGCTTTTCCTCCTCTTTTCTCTTTAATCTTCTGTTGATTTACACCTTTGACATTTGTATGCGTCAGCCCTGTGGCTTGTTACCACCAGAACCTCTCCGAAGACCAGACTTCCCTGTGCGGCCAGCAGCGGAAGCCTGGAGGACAGAGCGCAGGTGACGGAGCTTCTGAGGCCGGGGGGTGTCCGCCTGCACACGCGTGTGACAGCTCAGATCACCTCCGTTCCCGCACCAGCACGCTCATTGCACGCCTCTCTCGGATTCTTGGCACACAGCGACTCCCCATTCACTCTGGGGGCGGTGCCTCTGTGTTGCGTGTGTGCGTGCACCGCATGCGCACGCGCACAGGGTTGGTGCTGCTCCCCAGCGAGCGTGCAGCAGGCGGGGTGGAGGTTCCCGTGCTTCTCTGTTGTCACACAGCTCCCTCCCCCCTTGTCTCCCTGCCGTTGTCCAGTGTGGTGTCTTCGCAGCCTGTTAGCGGAGGCTGGGCTGTTCAGGTATGAAAACGTAGCCCCAGGGAAGGGCCACGCTTACTGACCGCGTGATCTTGGAGACCACGTTTTGCTGGGAATGAAATGACCCCCGCCCCACGCAGGATGCTTAGTGACTAGGAAGAGGCGGACTCGGGACAGCCCAGCGGAGCCCAGGCGGACGGGCGGCTGCTCACAGGAGCGGGTGGCCCCATGGGCGTCCTGTGGGTTCTGAGTAGGCTGGGATGTGGACACCTCCATGGGGAGCTGGAACCAGGCCAGAACAGCTGTCTGCCAAAGATACAAGAATATGCAAAGGCCCTCTTCTCTTCTCAGCCCCTCCTTCCCCGAGTCTTGGTTGGTTTGATAGCCGGGATACGGATCTAGGGTGCGGTTGCTGGGTTGCCTGCCTGTTGCCACGCCGTCCCCCTCCCCGAGGGTGGGAACCGGCAGGGAGGCCAGGTCGATGAGCGCCTGCAAGGGGTCGTATAGCCTGGGTGTGGGTGAGGGTCTGCCTGCCTGTCTGTCTCTGTCTGGGTGTCTGAGTTCCGAACATGTGTGTTGTTCGTGCCTCCTCATCCTCTTCTGAGACTGTTGTTTTTTTAGAAGCTTGACTGTGAGAGAAAAGCTTGTATGAAATTCCCCCAATGCCTCCCTACCCCCCAGATAAAAGGCGGAGTAAACTCTGGTCCACTGGAGAAACCCGAGGGAGGGTGGAGCCAGGGCTCACCTACTCTATGCACACAGAGCACCCCGTTCCCAGCAGAGTAGACGGGAGTCCCTGCCGGGTGCCCAGGCCCCCACAGGCCCGAGCCAGGGGCTCACGATGGCTTTTTGTTTGAGGGCCCTGTCAGGCCCAGACTGCCGCCACCGTTGGTGCCAGCCTCCCGGACGCTGCCGCCCTGGAGTGCACCCCCACCCAGCCCCCTGCTCGCTTGCTGGCATCGCATCTTCAGCTGCCCACACGGGATTGCAGGAGGCTCTACATCCCCTGATTCCCGGCCTCCTGATCTGCCCCACACCAGCCGCCCCCTCCCCTCTTCCCGGGGGAGCTGCCTGCCGTTTGTTACTCAGCATTGACTTCACAGGTCACCGTCGGTGGGTCTGGCCCTGCCAGGGGGCTCCTGCCCCTCCTCTTGCTTCTCGGCAGTCTCACCTGGGAAGGTAATTGTCCCAAGCATGTTGGCTTCCCTCCCAAGAACAAAACCATTTCTGTACACATCTTCGGAGAGGTGGGCTCCTTGCCGAGACCAGAGCCGTGGAGTTGGGGCGGGAGGAGTCCGAGGTCGCCCCAGGACCTGGAGGCCCTTGTACCATCATCTGTCTCCTCTCCCTGATTTGAGTTCCGAGCAAGTCCTGGAGTCCCTCTTCTCCCATCCTGGTGGGGCGGCAGAGGCTGCCTGCTCAGTTCCTCTTGGACTCTTTACCAAATGGCAGGCTGCCTCTGGGCAGGACCACCTGTGTCTCGCAGCCAGGAGGGGAGGTGCCGTCCTTCAGGACCTGAGCCCAGCAAGGGAGGTAGAGGGGCTCAGGCTTGCGAGGAACCTCTCTGTGTGCATGGAGTGAGGTGTGTGTGGGTGTGTGTGCACGTGTGCATGCTTTTTTTCTTTTTGCCATGGGGACAGTTGAATTTGGGGCATTTTTCTACAAGAAACAAGCCTTCTCTCCCCTATCAAGGACTGGCCATAAACTTCAGTCCATCAAAGGCACTTGCAGCCAGAAAAGAACCTCACCAGGACAGCTAGTGTGGCCCCAGGCTGGCCAAGGAGGGAAGAAGGTGTAGGAATGAACACCTCCCCGAATTGAATGTGAGCCCCGGCAGGAGAGGGTGGTGGGGTTGCCAGGCCCCAGAAGTGTAAGCCGGTTCCCCGCCCCGCCCCACCTTTTCTGTTTCCCTGGGTGAGTGCTGGAGCGGCGTAGCTGCTGCCTCCTCCTGGACACTGGCATGTAGCAAGCAAGCTGGGTGGGTGTTCATGGTGGGGCCTCGTGGAGCCTGGGAGGAGATGAAGATGAGGAGGTTTTTCCTTACTGTATAAATGAATATTTGTATGATTAAATTAACACACACCAAAAAAAGAAACAAAAACCCTATTTTCATGTGTGTCAGTGATTTTATTGCGCCCTGAAGTCCCTGTGTAACCTGCTCCGTGACCCTGTAATGTACCAGAAACTCCGTCCAGTGGCCTTCAGGTCCCGCGGCCTCTGGCATGCCTCTGTTGGGCACTGCTGCATCCCCAGCACAGATGTACCGGTTAGTGTGGACCGGCGGTGGTGGGTGGGCGGTGGGCACTGTGGACGCGTGCTGCCTGTCAGGCCCTGCGCGCGGGTGTTAACACCGAGCACCACCAGCCTCTCCTGCTGGAGCAGCAGACAAGGGTGAATTGGGACTGGGAGTTAGAGGAGAAGGAACATTTTCCCTGATGTGTTTCCTTAGTGTGGTTCTAGTTGATTTCAGATTAGATACATTTTTGCAGACTGATCTAGGAGCCTGAGAACCTTGTAGGGCCCACACTCCAGGCAGTTGACAAGCAAATTTGGATCCTACCCGCCATGTACTTTTGTGAGACAGACCTATGACCTTGGCCAGGAGATGGTGAGTTGGGTTTCAAGGTCTGTAGCATGAAAGAAACTTAATTGACAAATACATTAGCAAATGGTGGGTTCACTAGACCAACGCTTTCAGGACTCTTTGGCACTCAGGACTCAGCTGTGTCCTCAGCCGCATCACTGTGTGTGTGTGTGTTGAAGGGAAAGGGAGATCAGAGGGAAGGAGAGTTCTTGTCACCCAGGTGGGGACCTGGCGCATCGGCTCCCAGATGCTGGCGTTTTCACTTAATTGCAGGCCCTGGGTCAGGCCTTCACACTGTCCAGCAGAGCTGAGTGTTCTGAATGGTGGCCCTGGCGCTGAGCCGGAGTGTAGGTATGGGGAGGGGGATTCCCCGGCCATCGCCTTGCAGGCAGTTGGGTGAGGGAACCTGTGGCCACAGATTACATAAGACAGAGGCGCCACCGAAGAACCAGTCTCGGCCACAAGATCCCTGTGTAGCCTGACATGGGGCCCAGCGTGAGGGAGACTGGCCCAGGGACCCCTGGGGTGAGCACCTTGCCTCCGCCCTCGTGCCACACCAGTGCTCCCGCATCCTGCTTCCTTCCAGGTACCCACGGCTATTTGTTTTCTGCAGAAGAAGGGCCCCCACCCTGTCACCTGGGTCTTCTGGCAGCTCAGGCCCACTCCCAGGCCTTCCCCAACACCTCCGCCGTTGGACAGTTATTTGCTTGGCAGAATCTGTTTGTCTTTGGGGCTGTAACCTGTCAAGGAGTCACCAGGCCCTGGGAGAAAGAAGCAGGCGATGGAAGCTCCTGGCCGGAGCCATTCCCACGGGGGCTAGGTGACGGGGGGGCGGCGCTCAGCCCAGCTTTTGTCCGGGGCTGCGGCGGGGAGGTTGCAGTGGTGTGGGCCCAGCCCTCCAGGCAGAGCAAACAGGTCCTCTCGGCCGCCTCCCTGTCCCAGCCCAGGCTGCACTGGGTGCCTCCCACCCTGTTCTTGGGAAGGCCCCTCCTCTACCTGCTTGCTCTGACCCGGCCACTTTCCCAGACACCACCTGGTGTCCAGCCTTGTCTGGCCGCCAAGAGAACAGCCTCCAAGGGCACTCATGGCCGCCCTTTCTTTCAATAATGGGAGTAGAGCAGGGAGCTGGAGTGGGAAATGGCAACCCACTCCAGTGTTCTTGCCCAGAGAATCCCATGGACAGAGGAGCCTGGCAGGTTTGCAGTCTGGGGTTGCAAGAGTTGGACACGACTTAGCGACTCCACCACCACCACCACTTCCAGAGCAGAGAGCCAGCAAGGCAACTTGAGAAGGCAGAGGGTATATGAGTTTGGGAGTCAAGAGTGTTCAGAGAATGGATTCTGACAAACTAGCGTGACTGACAGATGGACCTCAGATACCTCCTCTGTAAAATGGAGATGTATTGGTTTAGAAAGCAGGACTTTGGTGGAAACTCACAGGTTTTAAAAAATATTCTGAGATTCTGTGATCTGAAACAGTGCTTCTCAAAACCTGTGTTAAAAATACAAATTCTGATTTAGTAGATCCTGCGAAAGAGGGCAAGATTCCATCATTCTCACGAGCACCCTAGTGATTGGGCTCTGCTAGTCCTCGAACCTCACTTCGCATGAGGATAGTAGGTGGTGGTCTGAAGGGGTTCACCCACCCCCAGCCACCTGGGCTATGAGACTGAGCCAGATCTAGCCAGGGCTGTGTTGTCCAGACCCATGAGAATTTGAGGGGGCTGAAATCATTTAGAATGGTAATGTTCAAGCTGGGCCATGGTTCCTCAGCATTTCCCAGGGTTTATCCAAGGCTGTGATTTCTGACTTAAATATTATTTCTAGCGTTATGTTTTTCCATCACAAACAATAAATGTCTGAGTGTCCACCATAATTATGGTACTATTGGCTGACCAGCTCCCATTAAATTGTTTATATGGATGACCTCATTTAACCCTTACAACCTACAGATGCAGCAGTCAGCCTGGTGCTATTTGCGAACAGGTAACCCTGGAGTGTTCCAACTCCCCAGGAAACAGGTGTGAAGTCTGGGAGCATGGCGTAAGCAACCTCGACTTAGTCCAGGGGTGTCCGGGGGGCTCCTCTGAGGATGCTGAGGGTGCAGAGATGGCGAATGGATACACAGCCCGCAGTTCAGTGGGGAGGTTGGGGCAGGAAACACGGTGTGGGAGAGTCCTCAGAGATCATTTAAAGCCTCAGGACCAGATGAGGTCATCAAAGGAGTGGCAGTGGACTTGACCCCATGTGTCACACGCTCCCTCAAAGTCTGCGGGTTGCCCCAGCTCCCTCTGCAGTGATCTCTGACCGAGGAGACTTCCTACTCCAGTGGCTAAGATTTTTGTGCTGCCAGTGCCCGGGGCCAGGGTTCAGTCCCTGGTCGGGAACTAGATCCTACGTGCCACAGTTAAGACCTGGCATAGCCAAATAGATATATTTTAAAGAAGACCGCCCCCCACTGCCCCCCGACTCGCGTTCTCACGGCCGCAGGGCACCTCTCCTGTCCGATCCCCATCCTGTTCCTGACCCCTGTGTCCCTGCAGCTGGTTATAGAGTCACTGGGAGACTAGTTGGAACCAGGTGGCCGGGGCCTGGGGGAAGGAGACTGGAGCCCCAGGAGCTTGTAGCATATTTCCTGTGGCCCAAATCCCTAGAGCCCCAGAGTCAACTTGTAGTCCTCCAGCTGAGCTACGGAAAAGGGAGAAATCTGCGAGGAGGGGGGCTATGTGCCTGGGGCCCAAGGAACAAGGCCCTGTGGTGCCATGCTCACCAGCCCTGGCCAACAGCCAAGACACAAGATCCCAGAGAGGCTGGGCCATCGTGGCTTGAGGCCTCTGAGCAGCCAAGGTTCCCCCCCCAACACAGGTCAATGGGACAGGAAGGGTCGGGATCGGGGGGCGGCGAGGAGAGGGGACTCCTGAGTTGTGCGCACTGTCTTCTGAGCCCTGAGCTGAGCCGGATGGGGGTGTGTGGAGGGCGGGAGCAGCCCCCCGGGGTGCTGGGAGTGCAACTTGGGAGCTGGTGCGGGTGGGCCCGTGGCCAGCAGAGGGCACCACGTGGCCCAGGCCTTGTCTGGAAAAGATGGACACTGGCCTGGCCCGGCTCCTGTGCCAATAGCTATTCCAAATCCCCACACCTCCAGGGCAAGTGTCACCTCAGCTCTCCCCGCCGAGCTTGGCTGTGAACCCGGGCCCTGCTGCTCCGCTCTGTGGCTGCTCAAGCGTGTGTCAGCCCTCAGAACCTCTGTGCCCTAGCCTGTGAACGAGGACAGTTCTTTTTTTCCAGAGGGATCATGAGAATCAAAACCCTCTGTAAAAGTTTAGCATTGCATACCTGGCGCAGGTGAGTGTCCAGTATGTGGTGGCCACTGTTATCTTTTTGTGACCTTCCAGATGGACTGGGACCCTGGGCATTTGGGAGGTGGAGTCCCAGAAATCTGCAGCCTGCTCAGGAGTCTCTCCCAGGACCACAGCAAGTCCTTGCCGTGAAGGTACTCCTTGGTTGGGATGGGAATTGGGAAGCAGGAAAGGACTGTTCTGGAAGAGGGTCCAGCTCCCTCTAGAAATAGACTCAAGGGCGAGGAGGCGGTCCTCAGGGGCTCTCAGTACGCGTGTTGAGTGAGGAAACGACCGCGTGTGTAGGAGCCTCGTGCAGGCCTGGCCTGACTTCTGGGGTCAGACACCGCTTAGTCCAGCGCAGACCCCAGACTGCGGGGGCTCCTGGAGAGGGGTCGGCGAGTCACAGTTGCGATTGAGGTTGAAAACAACAGCCCAGGAGCCTATGGGAACTGGTTCGGCCGCTGCGGTTTACCACTTCCAGGGGCGGAGCACTGGGGCTCACACGTTTGCTTCCAGGTGCCTGCAAGGACCTGTATTGGGGCCAAGGACGCAGGCCAGGCCACAGGTGGGCACCAAGGTAGCGTTGGCATCCCACCCTCGTGGCATTTCCTGCTGTCAAAGGCACCCGGACCCCCTGAGCATCTCCAGCTCTTGCACGCTTCTGTCTTCACTTACCTCTCTCTTTCCCCACATCCTGGTTTCCTGGCAGTTGAGCAGGCTTTATCCAGGAACCACGAGGGTATAGGCTTGCAGCTGGGGCAGTTGTTACCAAGATAGGTCAAGAGGCTGTCTGTGTGTGTGCGTGTGTTGAGCCTCTGCCAGGACCCCTGATGTGGGTCCTCCAGGGCTGATGAAGACATGTCCCTGAGGGGGACATGGGACCTAGGAGACAGGCAAAGTGGGCATGGTGGGGAGTGGGGTAGGCGGAGTGTCCTGTGAGAGGAGCCCGCGCAGGAGGGTCTCAGAGAGCCAGCCCTCCCTCCAACGCCTTGGGTTGGAAACAGTGACCATTCACTGCATCCCCAAAGGTGAGGCTGGAAAGGGCCCTAGAGCCCAGCAAGAAAGGACCTTCTCTCCCCAGGGGCCCTGGCCAGTGTCGGCCACACCCCTCCCCAGCTGCCTCCAGGACACCTGAGCCAGCGGGGAGCCAAGGTCCCCCAGGGAAGAGAGAGAATCTGAGGTTGG